CGCAATATACTAAAATACTTTTAAAATTTAATTAACAGTCAACTCAACTCAATCAATTTATTTGATAGAAATTTTATAATAAATTCCTTCACATTTAATGTTGAACAAATCTATTTTTTGAACTGTATCTTAGTTTTTTACTTATTCCTTAACTTCTTTTCATTTTTCATTAATAAATTTCAATCACAGCTGCTTCAGAGCGTTGTGTAGAAAGCGCAAAAACTACTCTGACACGAACTGCTACTTATGTGCCGCATCACCATCATCAACAAAATGTCTGCCAGCCGAACATAGAGCCTTGACTGAAGAACGGTCCAGTGGTCCCTAGCAATTATGTACAAACTGTAGATAGTAACGACAGTGGGGTGGGCAATCCATCGGTAGCACCACCATCATCTGTTTTCTTTCCTTATCTGCCACGGCCCTCATCAACATCAATCGAACGCCATCGTGGTAGTTTTAGTCCAAAAACATTGTGTGGAAGCCAATCGACACTAAATACTTTCTGCAGTAGCCGCAAGAGCCAGCCAAATTCAACTGTTAATCGATTATACAATTCTGATCCCAGTACTAACATGATTGGAGAACAATCGCAAATCATGGGAGATACTGAATATCTTACTAATTATGCACATATTAAACATAGCCATCGACATTCTCATTATCACTTGAGACGTCAATCGCAACCAGACAGTGACGTTCGATTGATGTCACGGAATTCATCAAGTGTGAAAAGCTTTATATCACAATGCTATAATAATCCCGAATACTTCGATGAAATACGCCCAGCCCGATCATACGATGATAGTAGAGCATCACTGATATCTCGAAAGCTCTCAAATCAAATAGTTCTTCTGAACTCGGAACTTCAATTACTAGAGCAAATGCGTGATCATTCTCATTCATATCCTCATATAAATTACCCAGAAAAAGATTACTTGTCCGAAAAAGATCAATTTCATGCTGAACAAACAACTACAACATCATCAACATCATCCGAAGAATGTTCTGATGCCAGCGAGTTTCATGAGAAGAAAGCGTCTACGCTCGAAAGAAAAGTTTCAAGACTCACAAGCGAAACCGATTCTTATTCAGCGATAAATGACGAAATTACTCAACTAATTAGTAAGCATTTTTCAAATTCTATTAAGCAGCTAGTAGCACAAAGATTCACAGACGTAGGCATGTACACTCTTCCTCTTCGACGGCGACATAGTTGCGGTAGCACTGAGAGTTACGACGATATTATCATTCCCGAACTGTTCAATTCACCATCAAGAATAAAATGGAATTTCTTGACAGGATTACCCGATCACAGTCGAAGTCATAGTCGAATTGATAGCAGTGATTATAAGACTGATCTAGAAGATGATGATGAATGCAATAATCACCCGCAAGGATGGCGCAGGTGTAAAAGAGTTGATCATAATATGAAAGAGAGAAAATCATTTTCTTTTGATTCAAAACAGCAGCAGGGATACGAAACTGTTTCAATGTGGCGAACTAACAGTTACCCTGAAACGCATGAATCAATTCTTCAACATGACACAGAAGAGTTTTTGGATACTTATTGTGAAGGTCATTCGAAAGAATTTGAACATGGTCAAGAAAATTCCGAAGAAAAAGTCGAAGATTCTGGTTCAGTTTATGAATTTGAATTATGTACGAAAGAAAATTGTGAATACTTGTCAAAGAGTCAAGTAATGCTCCCGCAGCAATCAACTGAATCGGAAAATCCTTTAAATAATAATAAAACCTTCGCCATCAACAACTCTTTGCCTAGTAATAAGAATATTAATCTCAAGCATAATAAGCTAAAATTGAAGAAGAAAGTAAAGAAAAAATCGACAGTGAAAGCTAATCATAATCGTGACCCAGAAGATTTTCTCATGTGGAGCAAAATCAATTTTAGTCATTTAATTAAAAAAGATAGCTGCAATATAAATAGCGTCAATCTTAAACCCAACTCGAATTCGTCGTCATCACATTCTTTAAATAATATGGGCGTCAGAAATCGAAGAAATAAGAAAAGCTATCAGAAATTTACGAACAAGTGGCTGCAACAGCAGCCACCCGGATCATTAGACATAGCAACATTAATACTTGCCTCGTCAGCATCGACACAGGTCCGATTCAGAAGTGATGGTGGAATTTATTTCAGTAATCCCGATTTATCTAATATTCCCGTAGACCTACGTTCTGTGACTAACTTTACGAATAACAACAACAATATTAATAGTAACAACAGCTGCCAATTTATTAATAACGATTTAAGGAATACAATTAATTTTAATGTTAATGTGAATTGCCATAGTATAGATCATTCCCATTCGCGGGGAAGATTTGATTTAGCATCAAACTATTTGACTGTAGAGGAATCTTCTATAAATAGTAATAATATTGATACTTTTAATGATTCTGAAATCTTGCAACAGCAACATTTAAGAGGACGCTTACGGTATAATCGGTTTAACCTTAATGGTATAGTGAGACGAGCTCAAAAACATGCTCGAAAATATTTTAATTCATTATCGTTTGCTTCGAGGAAATGAAATGAATTTCATTAGTAAATTTTCATTCATATTACAATAATTTAATGAATGTTTAGAGTGACGTAGGATTGAAATATCTAAAAAATTATAAAGAATTTTTTAATGAAGAATGTTACTGCTGTGAACTCTCGATATAATGAGGGACTGCTGGGAAAAAAGATATATCGAGTAAAATTTGAATCGTCCGAATCAAGGGCACTTAATAACAATAGGTAAAAAAAAGGAATAAAAATAATCAAATAAATTATAGGTATGTAATTCATTCGGAAATTTGAAGAAAAATTTAAACTTTTTTTTTAAAGGAAAATTGTTACACGCTGCAACATTTTCTCATACATTATATTTCAGTTCATTAACACCAGAGGACGGTAGCGATGAATTCATTAAACTTTGCCTCTATTTTCGAGTGAATTTTGTTCCAAATTTCGAGTGGGTGAAAGAAAGAAATTTACTAACGAGAGGAATATTAGGTATATCGAGAGTTCACTTTAGTTAATAGAAAGCTTGGTCCAAAATGAAATCAATTCACACTTTAAGTAAAAGTGGACCACACGTTTATTTAGGTACTTTTTGTTTTTTCTAGAATGAAAGTTAAAGAGGAATATTTTAATCTATGGGGAAAATGGATATTGTTAGCTTTGAAACGATTTTATTAATTACGTATCTACAAATTATACTCAGATTAAGATTTTCTACAATTTAATTTAAATTTTTAATCTCACCTATCTACATACATTCACGATACTTTACTAATATTTATTTCTTTTTGATAAATTTAATAATTTAACACTTCAAATAATTGTAATTAACCTTGTTATTTATACTATTCGCAGAAATTAGCATTTTTATGCGTCAGATTATAACAGTAATGATATTCAAATCAATAACATAGGTATTTAGAGTTCAATTTATCTCACAAGTCTAGCGAGATTTCAGATTTCAGTTTGAAATATGACTACACTTAGTAAAGTATCAACATATTTTGATTTTCTTCTCATGACCGTAATTTATGTCTGTTAAACGCTCTAGAGCATTTAAGCATTCGAATCATAGAGATTTGAAAATGAAAAAAAAGATGAACTTTTGCTACTGTATAGCAGAAAGATAAGATAACTGCCATTTTATTCGTTGATCAATTAAAATAGAAGAAAATATCTAAATAAAACTACTAAATAGCTCTTATAATGAAGCGTTTATTACAAATACCTAAATATTAAGCACTCACTTAAAAATCCTATTATTCAAAGAAATAATTATCTAATCATATAAAAGTTGATTTTTCAGAAAAAAATCTCTTAATACTACCTAGTAAAGATCCTCACAAACATGAATAAAAATAATTGAAAGCTGGGAAAAAAGATGAAAAATATGTTTTGTCATTAAATATCGAGGCTGTTAATAAATAACCAAATACTTAACTAAGTGTATACTTAGAAGTATAACTCTTCACTGAATACGCTACTGACATGAAGTAAACTTATCTGGATTTTTTTTCAAATAAAACAATTATCCATATTAACCCTTTCAAATAAAAAAAAAGACAGCAATTTTGTTATACGTTTTTTTTACCATGTGATGATTTTTAGAAATGAAACAGATTTCTAAACATTAATTAGTATGCAATTCTGGTTTTTGATCTTAAACTGAAAATAGTTCCTTTATAAGATTTATTTTTCCTTTACTTATGATTCTGAAGAAAAAAATAATATTAAGAAAGTAGGAAATTTATGCTCAATTTAAATATTAGAGAATTATGATTCATAACTTCTACACAAATGTTTTGAAATGATTTTCCTTAGCTAATTGTAACTTAGTCTAGAATTTATAAATAAATCGATTTTTTTCTAAGCATGTTTCATTATAATTTCTTTAAACATACATATAAGCTTTGTCTCTGCACAAAAAATAAAATTTAAAACGGAAAATAGTAAAAATAAAATAAAGTTATGTAAATATAAAGTGATGCTTTTTTTTAATTAGATATCAGTTTTTGAGTTTATTTTCAGAAATTCTGTATTCATGCTACTTTTCATTTTTGAAGGTACCAACATATTATACATAGTCTCAATTCTTCAAAAAAACAATCTAAATAGATTTTTTTTCAGGCGAACCACCCATACCAAATTGAGTAAATAAAAGTGACTCATGTGGTTTTCAGTAGTGCTTTCTTGATTTCTTAATTTACGAATATGTAGGTATAAAATTTACAATTGAAACATTTGACTTTATCCTTTTTTAACCGATCAAAATAATTTGAAAACGTTCGGACTACGTAAATCGTTCGGATAAGTGAGACTAATTTCTTTTTGTTTTCCTACAAAAATAATTTCATCAAATAAATCTATGACTCCTATTAAAATTAACTGTAAATCTGTGTGAAGTAAAATTTAATGCATTTCCTTTGAGACATTAGTTAAGATTGTTTCGAAAGAAGAAGGAATAGATGTGAAAGACAGAGGAAAAGGGAAATTTCAAGCGCTTCACACCAGTTTCATGTTAGAAAGATTTTCAATTATAAGAACGTTTAAACGTGTATCGAATCTTATCAGTGATATTTGGTATAAACTTAATCCACAACAATTAACAATAGAAATGCCAAGATCCAAACGTCGTCATCGGTCGAGATCCGAGTCGTCAGCTCATGTCCATCATCGTGATAAAAGGAGAAGAATAGGATCCAACGATAGTGGAAATTATAAACAAATTGAAAGTTTTGAAGATTCATCGTCCAGCAGACGAAGGAAATCTAAACGATCTCATCATAAACGAACTCCAGATGCTTCTGACAGAAAGTCAAGAAGACATTACAGAAAATGCCGTCACGATTATAACACACGAAACAACTACTACGAGAAACACGAGAGGAAGGATAGAGACGAACGCGATGGTCGTGAAAGAGAAAGATCTAGAACTCCTGTGAAACGAGCTCCTTCAATCCGAGATGATTCTGATGGCCATCTGATTTATCACAATGGTGACATTTTGCTTAATCGATATAAAATCTTAGCTACGCTTGGTGAAGGAACTTTTGGACGAGTTGTGAAGGTTAAAGATAGTGTAATGGACCAAACGATTGCACTTAAAATTATAAAGAATGTTGAGAAATACCGTGAAGCTGCTAAACTTGAGATAAATGCTCTAGAAAAGCTTTTAGACAAACGAGCTACGGAACAGTAAGTCTATTGTTCTTGCATTTCACTTATAATTTACATATTTCTAATTTTTTCTGATTTACTTTTAGTTTATGCGTTAAAATAATGGACTGGTTTGACTATCACGGTCACACATGCATTGCCTTTGAGATACTCGGCCTTAGTGTCTTCGATTTCCTCAAAGACAACAATTATGAGCCGTATCCGCTCGATCATGTCCGTCACATCTCATACCAATTGTGCTATGCTGTTAAGTTCTTACACGACAATAAGTTGACACATACAGATTTAAAACCAGAAAATATCTTATTTGTAAATTCTGAATATACAACAACATTCAATGCTAGAAAGGTTCAGTTCTATTGAATTTTAACTTTTTATTTCTCATTTATTGGTGATGTTTTTTTCTTTTCATAGAATCGTGAGATGCGTCGTGTAAAATGTACTGATATACGTTTAATTGACTTTGGTAGTGCAACGTTTGATCACGAACATCACAGTACAATTGTGTCGACGCGTCATTATCGAGCACCAGAAGTTATTCTTGAGTTAGGCTGGGAACAACCATGCGATGTTTGGTCAATCGGATGTATCATGTTTGAATTATATTTGGGCATTACACTCTTCCAAACACACGATAATCGAGAGCATTTAGCTATGATGGAACGAATTCTAGGAACATTACCATTACGAATGGCAAGGTAGGACATTTTAAATATTAATTCTTTAAATTGAAAATAAATATCTACTCTATTTTCTTTTTTCTTCTTAAAGAAAAACGAAAACAAAATATTTCTATCATGGAAAGTTAGATTGGGATGAGAAATCTTCAGCTGGACGTTATGTCCGGGATCACACAAAACCTCTTATTCGCTATATGGTTTCAGAGACTCCAGAACATTTGCACCTGTTTGATATTATTCGTCAAATGTTGGATTACGATCCAAATACTAGAATAACTTTGGGTAAGAAAATATTTAGGTAATAAATAAAATTCTGATGACTTAATTTATTTTTTTACTTTATGTAGAACAAGCTTTGCGACATCCATTCTTCCAAAAGCTTCCAACACACCAACGGCTTCATGAGAAAAATAATCCTGCTCAATATGTATCGGCAAGCAGTTCTCGAGAGAGATCGCATAGCCTATCAGTTCGTTAAAAGCATCTGAAATATCTTTATGTTTATTTTATACTTTGATTTCGATTAATATTACTTTTCCAATCATATCCCGGGATAACATGTTGTGACACGTTTCTTTTCTTTTGAATTGAATGTTCAGAGTTTCATTCACCGATAAGCAGCTTTTTTCCAAAGTTAATAAAATTTCCTTTATTCACTAACTTTTAAATCATCTATTGTCATGAATATTTTCTTTTCACTTTTCATTTAGTTTTTCTTCTGCTTCAGTTCAATCACTATTTAGATGAGATAATTTTCTTCTATTTAAGGAATATAATAAAGAAGCGAATAAATAAATATTAATAATAAACAGAAAAAGAGTTTACTTTAACTAAAAAAAATTGAATTAAAGACATTTTCATTTTGGAATATTTCACTTTCAATAGAGTTCAACGGTCGACAGAACAGTGTATGGTGTTACTGATGGTATTTAGTGAATAAAAACCTTTATTAATAAAATCTGAAACTAAATTAAGTTAGGTAGATATAAATTCTGAAATCAAAATTTGAATGATTAGTTTTCATAATGCTGAAAAGAAAAATATGTTTTGATAAAAAGACATCTCTTTTAAAATTAGTAGTTTTTTTATTATTTAGAGATATTTTTTTACATTCATAGTTACTCAATTAATGTTAGCTATAAATATATTTTTATCGATAATTTTCTTCATCTTCCTTTTATTTTACTTTTCATTAATATTGAGAGACTAGCGAAATCAATAGTTTCCTTCTTTTCGTTTTTTTTATTATAACTTTAAAAATAATTTTGAATTCTTTTATGTTAAATTTATTATTAGCTCCCTCCCGTCTCAATAAATTTCTTCTGTTTTTTTTTGTTCATTATATCAAGTTTTCTCTGTCTCTTTCTTTCTCAATATATGTTTCTCTCATTTTCCACTTAAACATATTATCTTAAAATATCTAACATTTAACTAAATATTTGATGAAAATTAAATTTTTAAGAAATTTTTCTTCACCTTTAAAAAAGGTTTTTGCACATTTTGCTAATTTTTTTTATATATTTCTAAATCAAGATTTTTAATCGTGTTCTAAACACATTTGTAACAAGAAAATAGAACTTCTCCAACTTTATATGACTTTTCTTTATTAGGTATATTGTGCGACAAATTTTGCGCTTTTTTCCATTGTTTGCGTTCAAAATTTTAAGTTCAAGTAAGGAAGTAGTTGAGAAAAGGACGGAGTAGAAAAGTAAAAGCAAAGAAAATTAGGTAATTTCTGGAGTAGCTGTAGGATTTAGCTCATAAGATTTAATTTAATATTTATTAGCAAATATTTGGGTAGGTGTGTAAAAGAAAAACAAAAATTGATAAAAACTTTAAATAAGGAAATCACTGTAAAAGTCAAAGTTTCATCTCAGTCTAAAAATTGGTTTATGAAATTCTGTTTTCAGTTCACTCTGCAAAGTTTTAACAGTCTTAATGCCGATTGATTTGTTATTATTATTATTTTTTGATCCCAGCATTTATGAAACCTTTGGCTTTAACAGGTGACGCTTGAAGTACTGAAATAAAAAGAAAGCCTTCTATTCAGTAGCTTGGTTTGGATGATTTATGTTAGTAGACAGAACTAAGAATGAAAACTATTTATGCCAACTCCTTTTCATCGTATTTACAGCATTTTATTTACAATTTGAGAAATTATATTTTACGATGCACGTATGCTGTGTGATGCATGACATGGGTAACCCTCTTAAAAATGAGTAATTGTAAAGAATGTGTTTTTCTTCTTTTGTTCTTCATTTCTTTATTTCCCATTCAATTGAATCAATGAAAAGTCAAGCCGTTTTTAGTAGTTGTGTTTAAATTATGTATTATGAGAAACAAACTTTCTTATTTTCCAATATAGTTTGTTAATTTTCTTATAATGAATGTATAAGAGCAGGATGTTAGAAATAAATATATTCCGACGTTCAATACTTCTTTTTTGTATGTATTTCTTACTCAATAAAAATATTTGAAGAATTTATTCAGGATATCCTTTGCAACGTTGATTTTGCACATGGTTTCCTTTACTTTAATTACTGCACATAATTGAGGATCATTCAAAAAATACAATATTTTTAGTTTCTTTGATTCTATTTGCCTTATGAGACAAACTATTATACCATTGTGATGGATTCGTATAACATCCACAAAAACTTAATTTTCATTTTGGAGTTTTCTTTTTTTAATAATCTTTCACAAACTTTCAGTTGAATCTCATTAATTAATTTTTTATTCAAAAATAAAATTCGCCGATTAACGGAAGCATTTTTTCCTAGGTAAGTTTGCTTGTTGGTAAACTTTTATTTATATTTTTGTCCTAAACACTATTCATTTTGATATTACTTATAAAAAAATTAAAACACATTGAATTATTTTCTCAATTTACTTATTTAACGTTAGACAATGATTGCATTTTTTCAGATTTTTTTTAGAAGTAGATAGTTAAGAAATTCCTTTCTCATTCTCTNATATTTGATGAAAATTAAATTTTTAAGAAATTTTTCTTCACCTTTAAAAAAGGTTTTTGCACATTTTGCTAATTTTTTTTATATATTTCTAAATCAAGATTTTTAATCGTGTTCTAAACACATTTGTAACAAGAAAATAGAACTTCTCCAACTTTATATGACTTTTCTTTATTAGGTATATTGTGCGACAAATTTTGCGCTTTTTTCCATTGTTTGCGTTCAAAATTTTAAGTTCAAGTAAGGAAGTAGTTGAGAAAAGGACGGAGTAGAAAAGTAAAAGCAAAGAAAATTAGGTAATTTCTGGAGTAGCTGTAGGATTTAGCTCATAAGATTTAATTTAATATTTATTAGCAAATATTTGGGTAGGTGTGTAAAAGAAAAACAAAAATTGATAAAAACTTTAAATAAGGAAATCACTGTAAAAGTCAAAGTTTCATCTCAGTCTAAAAATTGGTTTATGAAATTCTGTTTTCAGTTCACTCTGCAAAGTTTTAACAGTCTTAATGCCGATTGATTTGTTATTATTATTATTTTTTGATCCCAGCATTTATGAAACCTTTGGCTTTAACAGGTGACGCTTGAAGTACTGAAATAAAAAGAAAGCCTTCTATTCAGTAGCTTGGTTTGGATGATTTATGTTAGTAGACAGAACTAAGAATGAAAACTATTTATGCCAACTCCTTTTCATCGTATTTACAGCATTTTATTTACAATTTGAGAAATTATATTTTACGATGCACGTATGCTGTGTGATGCATGACATGGGTAACCCTCTTAAAAATGAGTAATTGTAAAGAATGTGTTTTTCTTCTTTTGTTCTTCATTTCTTTATTTCCCATTCAATTGAATCAATGAAAAGTCAAGCCGTTTTTAGTAGTTGTGTTTAAATTATGTATTATGAGAAACAAACTTTCTTATTTTCCAATATAGTTTGTTAATTTTCTTATAATGAATGTATAAGAGCAGGATGTTAGAAATAAATATATTCCGACGTTCAATACTTCTTTTTTGTATGTATTTCTTACTCAATAAAAATATTTGAAGAATTTATTCAGGATATCCTTTGCAACGTTGATTTTGCACATGGTTTCCTTTACTTTAATTACTGCACATAATTGAGGATCATTCAAAAAATACAATATTTTTAGTTTCTTTGATTCTATTTGCCTTATGAGACAAATTATTATACCATTGTGATGGATTCGTATAACATCC